GTTACTTTCCTTTTGAAAGTAATTGACTGTGAGATGAACATGGAACAGGTTGATTTGGTTCTTCTTGGGCATGTGCATAATTATGAGAGAACTTGTTCTGTTTATCAAAGTGTATGTAAAGCCATGCCTAAAAAAGATGCAATTGGAGTAGACACATATGATAATAGAAATTACGTTGCTCCTGTGCACGCTGTCATTGGCATGGCTGGCTTCACCTTAGACAAATTTCCAGACACAGTAACAAACTCTCTTTCATCCATAACTCCATAACTCCATAACTTGAGGACTATGCTTATGCTTTTTAACTAATATCTTATTGTCCATTGATATAGGTCAATAATTGGAGCCTGAAAAGGATTTCCGAGTATGGTTATTTAAGAGCACATGCTACTAGGACAGATTTAAACTTGGAGGTTAGTAATTACATGCTTAGTAATTGGCACTACAGAAAACAAGTCAGGGAACTACCACTTCATTTTTTACCCTTTCAATTTGCATTTCTTACCACTTTATTTTCCCATCTCAATGTTACTTTATATGCATATACTTCAATACAACTATAATCTACTTCATTGCAGTTTGTAAATTCAAATACAAGAGAAGTTCAGGATGCTTTCCGCATTACAAAGTGAAAAGGTCACTCAGAAGAGAATTGCTTTTAGAAGGAGAGTAACTAAGATCTTATAATAAGTGCTCACTCACTAATAGTACATTATAGATTGAGACATTCAAATAATACACACACATAATATAAAGAAGAGGTGGAGACAGTTGCAGACCAACAATTTCTCACTCATTATCTGTCTTGTAATTTTTATTCTCTTTAGATTATGAAATCTGATGAATGATTACTTGTACAAATGGGGTTGGAAGTTTGTACTTATTATGTTTAATGATATTTGCTGATATGTAAAGACAGTAACACTATATCTAATATAATGCTTCTATTCATGCATGAACCTTGAATAACTATTTATTAATCTATATAGGAGCCTGCACGGTCCTATGAATGGAATAATAAAATAGTTGACAGGTTTGCACCTCAATCATGCTCTCACTCACATGTAATTCACATTAGTTTATAAGAAAACATAAGTCGAGTTTTTTCTGTTGATGTGATTCATGTGAACTAACCATAACATATGTAGCTTTCTACCAAATCATATAACTATGTTGCACTTTCCCTAACTTTTCAGCCCTTTTTGCTCTAAAATATGTTCACTTCCTCAACCAGGTGGCCACCACTCAAGTGTTTGTTAAATTTAAAACTGATTTTCATATGTTAGACCAGTAATATAGTGCCAAATATCAGAAGCAGAGATTTCTTGTGTTGATTAAAAGTAGACACTAAGTAGGAATAATAATCAATAATGTCCAAATACATTGCTCTAATCAATGTATTGTTTAATTATCATAATCTAAATCAGATCAAACTGTTTGGAACTTCCTTTTATCTTGATTGTTACTGATTAGTCTGAGTTACACGAAACCCAATTACTTCACCCTTATAAACAATTTGAATGAGAATTGTCCCTGCTCTAGAGCCATAATCATTGTTAATTCAAGGCACCTTATTCTACTAGTTAAATCTTTGGTTACAGAAAATTTCAATACCTTAAATTCACAATACCTAAGAGTTACAGCTTCTACAATAAGTTACCAAAAAACATGCATGTAGTCACAATATAACATGTCAGATTTTTTTCACCAAATAATTTATATATTTGGAGTGCCTTTAAGTAACAATTCAACATATAATACAAGATTAAAAATGGCAGGTGCTTTTAGATCCTTGCTTAGTACTCGAGTTATTTGTTAACCCCATGTGCAATCACTATAATGTAATACAAGTAAGGACATTTTCCTTTCACTTTTTAATAGTTATATTGTCATATAAACATCATTTTGATAATATTTTTTCCTTGTAACTTTCTCCTCCCCCATTTCTTGGGAAACACATTGTTCTCTTTCAAAAGGCACATGGGTCAATTATGGGAGGTTATCCTATAGGGTAAAAAATGTAATTAGATTCTATATTTTAATCAAAGAAGGAATGTAGCAGCCGACCATTATCACTCACTAGTTTGTTAATTAATCTGTGTAATATAGAGGTGTGGAGTATGTTGTATAAACAACACAAAATACACTGTTATGATACACTTTAATCATTTTGGGCACTCACATTTTCATCAAGTTATCTAAAATAAAATGAATTAGTTGTTCACCATATAGTCAAGATGCTCCTTCTTATATATTAAGAAGCTCAAATTTTAGATATATAAACTAAAACTTTTAACAAATTTCAAATTTTAACATACTTAGTAAAATGAAATTAATTCTTCAACTATTATACTCTATTTGAGTTGAAATATAAGTAAAAAAAGTTTGTATATGGTGGTTTAAGATATAAACAAACTTTAATTAATTTTATTTAATCGAATATTGTTACTCTTAAGATACATTTTATTCATTTCAAAATCGATTCCCAATATATTTAATATTGACTTTTAAAGTTACAATGCATTATTCACACCAAAAAAAAAACTTACAATGCATTAAGCATGAAATTTAGAATTTTTTTAGAGAAAATAAAATATATTAAATGATGTATTGTTAATATGTTAGTTATTTTTTATTTATTTTTGAATAGGGAGTTGCAATTAATTAATTAATTAATGGCAATAAAAATAAGAGTAAGTGATAGAAAGAATGAGCATATACCTTTATTTTTTCTTTATTTATGTTGAAGACCTTGAATGGGAAGCATGTGGGGTGGAATAAAAAATGGCAAAGAAAGTGTCCAACATTACAAAAAGGAACATTGGTCCTTAACTTAAGTCAAATAGTCAACTTAGCCGTTGCACCTCCCTCTTCCATAGTTGTCAACAACAAATAATCACTCATTCCTTTCAACCCCTTCTGTTTTGATCATATAATCCAATGAAAATGAATCCCTCTTGTATCAATATACATTCTTTCCAACCCATTTCATTCAAAATCCAATCTTTCTTCTCCAATATAGGATTTCCCGGTATCAAAATCCAACCTTTCTTCTCTCGCTGATTCCCTACCTTCTAAAGACCCAGTTGATTCCCCTGTTTCAAAAGACCCCCCTGAATTTCCAAGTTTCAAAAAACAAACTTTCTTCAACAATGAATTCCCCTGTTTCAAAATTCGAACTTTCTAATTCTAGTCCGTCCTTCTCTGCACCGTGTTCAAGTCATGGTAATAGCAGCGTTAACAGCAGTTGTAGCAACAGTGAAACCGATGAAAGCCCTATTTCCTCTCAACGTTTTTCAATCCAAGATGTCAAATATCAATTCCCAACAAAATGCATTAGCTTGCCCAATTCACATTCGCATCGATCCTTAGCTGTTCTTTCAGGCCATGTTGGTACTGTTTCATGCTTAGCCGTGTGTGGAGAATTCATACTCAGTGCTTCCCAGGGAAAAGACATCATAGTGTGGCAACAACCTGATTTGAGGTTGTTCGCAAAGTTCGGTCATGGTGATGGTTCTGTCAAAGCCCTTGTATCCGTTGGGAACAAGGTTTTCACCGCACACCAAGATAGCAGGATCAGGGTTTGGAAAGTTTCAAGGAGATCAGAGAATGTGTTCAAACTTGCTGATACTCTTCCAACAACTAAGGACTATTGGGGGAAATTCATGAAGCAAAGCAATTATGTTCAAACTAGGAGGCACCACAAGCGTTTGTGGATTGAACATGCTGATAGCATTTCTTGTTTGACTGTTTATAATGGTTTGATTTATTCAGGTTCTTGGGATAAGACCCTTAAGGTTTGGAGGGTCTCGGATTTGAAGTGTTTGGAGTCAATTAAGGCGCATGATGATGCTATTAATGGATTGGTAGCAGGTAAAGGGGTTGTGTATTCTGCTTCTGCTGATGGAAAGATTAAAGCTTGGGGGAAAGAAGGGAAGAATGATTCACATTGCTTAAAAGGGGCACTTCTAGGCCATAAAGATGTTTCTTTTAATTCTGTGGTAGTTTCTGATGATGGGAAATGGGTTTATGGAGGGGGTTCCGATGGTTTTGTTATAGGGTGGGAGGTAGATGGGAGTTTTGAAAGTTGGAAACTTGTTTCTGAGACTAGGGCACATGAAATGGCTGTTTTGTGTATGTGCTTAACGGGAGAGTTTTTATGCAGTGGATCAGCTGATAAAAACATTGGTATTTGGAAGAGAGAGGCTTTTGGGAAGCTTTGTAAAGTTGGTGTCATAGGTGGCCATGAAGGGCCAGTGAAATGTTTGCAAGCATCATGTAATAGAATTCGTGATGGGTTTATGCTCTATAGTGGAAGCCTTGACAGAAGTGTGAGAGTTTGGTGGGTTCCAAGGCATAATAATATACAAGTACAAGAAGATAACTCCACAATACTTAACACAATCAACAAATCCATTATCTCATCATGTTAGGAACATTTTGAAGGCTGGGTCATGAAGCACAGGATCTATTTTTGTCAGTGTCTGTTGTGCTTTCCTTCTTCATTTATTTTCTCCTTGGAAGTCTTGTTATATGTTGCACAAACGCTGAAGGTTTTGTTTGTTTTGCTTTTCTGTATTCACGTATGTTAATTTCAATTTTTTTTGTCCCAGTGGTGATTTTAGAAATGCGGGGTGAAATCAGGGCTTTGCTTTTGTATTTTTTTGAATTGTATTCTTAGTAGCAAAGTTGGTGTGATAATACAATTTTTTTTTAAAATTTCAATACAATTGGAACTATGTCTTTTAAAATTCAATCAATGGAAATAAATTATGTTCTTTTGTTTGTTGCATCCATTTGAAGGTTGTACGCATTCCCAGATATCATACAAGATCTTTAGCTAGAAATGCAAATACAAGAGAACGTACCAAAAGTGTTATATTATGAGTTAAGGAATCCTGTCCTATGTTGATTACAAGTCTTTCGGATATACAGTGTAAGTGTATGTTAGTTACTGATATTTATATCAGGATACTCATTCTGCTTCCTCTTTGGTTAATTTCTTCATTCAGAGAGGCTCCCTAATGTAAACAAAGTGCATGTGCTGTGCTTTTATCCTGAACAGAAGAAACTCATCATGAGGATTGAAGCAAGATAAATTTTTGTGAAGGATTGCACTTGCACTCACATAAAAATAATACTAATGTCTAGTTTTCTACTTCACATGAAGTTTTGATTTGAGTGAGTGGTAGGAATTTCAGTTCCCATATCAGAGAGGATAGAATCTAGATATGTGTGCATATCTTTTGATGTTTGAGGCTATTCATGTAGTTCAAGAAATCAATTGAATGATATAAATTGACAAAAATAGTTTCACTTAATACATATTGTAAACTAAATAAAAAAAATAGAGAAATGGGAGTGAAAAATATGAGTAATAAATAACCAAAGTTCCACACTGTTTGGTGACTGATAACTATAAAGAATGTTGGCAGGTTTCAAGGCTATTCTATTTAATGTCGGAAAATGATATATCCTCCTACGCACAAAAAAGTGACATATGTCACAAAGTGATACTTTTTTTATTAGTGATTGATTTACAAGTGACATATGTCATTTTTTTTGTGGGTAAGAGGATTAGTATGAGGATTTAGTAGGAGAATATAACATTACAGGAGAGACGCACATTCCAGAGAAGAAAAAGGTAAAAAAAACTTAATTTTTAAGCTATTTGGTTTTGTAAGATTATGTTTTCAGATGAAACAAAGTTGTTTAATTTTCAGGAGAATAGAAGGAAATGGATGCATGGAAGGGTAAAAACTGAGAGGTTACCTTGAATTGCAGTAGTATGAGCAGAGGAAGAGCAAAGCAAGCATGCTTTAAAAGTGGCTATAGCTTCAGCTGCTGAGGTTGTTAGAATCCTAGCAGGAATTATGGTCCTCATTACCAGAGGAAGGTTGAAGCACTCTTATATGGCAAACAAAGCCTATTGCATACTCTATGGTTCCATAATAAAGGATGTTAGCATCAATTCAGATTGGTCAGTCCAGAATTGGGACAAACAAAGTTCCTTCAAATATGAATATTCATAGCACTCTTATATGGCAATGCCACAGGCATCTATCTGTCTGTCTTCTTTATACTATTTAATTTGAGATATTTCAGTTCCTAAAAGGGGATTATGCTCTCCACAATCCATCACTGTACGTGTTATAACAATAACTTTAATTTCTCTCTTGTCTTTATTAATATCGACCTTGCATTGCTTCTAAAAAACATGTCACAAAAAGTGTTAGGTATGGGGAAGACCATGTCAATTGCGTTTACATTTATACAACACTATGCCCAACAACAAACGTGTGCTTAACTCCAACTCTAACGTCTTAGTTTATTATAATGGCAATTAAGCAAATTACATATTGCGTGGAACATGTGCGTGAACATTGACGAGGTTGCCGTTTTAAAATCATGTTTTTATTCCCACACCATGATAATGATATTTTGTAGGCCTAGAAAGCATAGGTCCCGACATGGTGGGCCATCTCTATCTAAGGAATGCAATCTAATAGAAGGATACGCGATGTTTACATTCCCACACCAAAGGAGGATATACCACTACATAATAATAGAAGGATATATACCACTGCAACTGCATAATAATAGAAGGATATACCACTGCATCATTCTTTAACTTAGCTGAAATGTGATCTCACTACACCATAATTAATTAATCTGGATAATTTCCTTCTCATTTTACCAACAACTTGTCTCTTCATGTCTGTCTACTTTCCTTTTAAAGATGTAGTAAAAAGTACAAGATCTCTGAGATCTCCCTTTGTTCTTACTTTTCCTCTTCAACTTGACTACTTACTGTTCATGCCTTTCATAGGCTTCTCTCTTCAACACAATCCTTAAATTATTCTTCCTTCCAAGTTGGCAGTCTTCATACGCATTCTCATAACTTAAGGGTTGACTCAGTCACCCACAAACTTCTTTAAATTCTCTCCCAACCTTTCATTTCCCATCACTTTCTCCTTTTCCTTGTTTCCACAAACATATTATACTTACAATATCAAACTTCTTGGAGAACATAACATTATGTTCCTCACAGGCTTCACCATCTTTTTCCTTACTTCTATAATAACCTTTCAGCTTAACTTCTCTCTTTCAACTATTCCTTCTTCACTAAACTCACTCCCCCTTGGTGGACATTTCAGTTTTGATGAATTTACCCTTAGCCATGCAGCAACAGACTTTGGCAACAGATACCAATATCATCCAATGGTAGTGCTGCATCCAGAATCAGTTTCTGATATTGCAGCCACAATACAGCATATCTGGCTCATGGGACCTAGCTCCCAACTCACCGTTGCGGCCAGAGGCCATGGCCACTCACTCCATGGCCAGGCACAAGCTCAAGGAGGTGTTGTGATCAACATGGAATCACTCAAGGTCCCAGAAATGCAGGTACATGTAGGAAATTCTCCATATGTGGATGTCTCAGGTGGTGAGTTGTGGATAAACATCCTGCATGAGACTTTAAAATATAGGTTGGCACCAAGATCATGGACAGATTATTTGCATCTGACAGTTGGTGGCACTCTCTCTAATGCCGGAGTCAGCGGGCAGGCATTTCGGCATGGTCCTCAGATAAGTAATGTGAAGCAGCTGGAGATTGTTACAGGTATGCAAAACCATCTTGTCATAAGAAGATGAAATTTTCAAATACAACAGCTACAATTTTGTCTCTTCTGAACTGCTATTCTTCTGCCACTCCCACTTTTTCCCTCATCTTTGGTAAGGGTGGTGCTAAATAAAAAATAGGGTGGTGTTAAATGTTAAAGAATGGCCAATAATTCATTTGAACTGAAGTAGTTACTTTCCAAGATTCCTGCTTGATAACTTCCCAAGATAATTGGTTTCAAATAAAGAAACACTTCCTCTTTTGATGAATAAAAAATGGTCAATGAATGAATGGATGCAGGAAAAGGAGAGGTGGTCAATTGTTCCAAGGAGCAGAATGGGGAGCTCTTTCACAGTGTTCTTGGGGGGCTTGGCCAGTTTGGAATTATAACCCGGGCAAGAATTCTGCTGGAACAAGCACCTGACATGGTAATGCATCAGTGACTATACCAAAATCAAAATCTTTTTACTTTAATAGTCCCTTCAAGGAGTGCTCTGGAGGAACTAGTTAAGAAATTAAACAATAGAAACACTTCATTGGGAATCAAAGCTTCTAAACTCTTTTTTGGATGCTTGATTTTCCAATGCAAGATTTCTAAGCACTAGGTAACATACCCCTAACTTTAATTACTATTTTGCAAGTACCTGTTATCATAAAGGAAAGTTTCTATTTTTTTGGAACAGGTAAAATGGATAAGAGTGCTATATTCAGATTTCACAGCATTCACAAGAGACCAAGAGCAATTAATATCATCTGAAAACTCATTTGATTACATTGAAGGATTTGTGATAATAAACAGAACTGGTCTGCTAAATAACTGGAGACCATCCTTCAACCCACAAGACCCTGTTCAGGCTAGTCAGTTCAACTCAGATGGAAAGACTCTCTACTGCCTAGAATTAGCCAAGTACTTCACCTTGGAAGAAATCAATGTAGTAAATCAGGTGAGTTGAGTCACAGATCAAAGTAAAGATTGTTTTTAGTGAAAATAAATAAATAGATAATTAAATAACTAATTAATACATGATTCTTTTTTATGCAGGAAGTTGAGATGCACTTATCCCATTTAAACTACATTCCATCAACTCTTTTTCTAACACAAGTCAATTACCTAGACTTCTTAGACAGGGTGCATGTATCCGAGGTCAAATTGCGTTCAAAAGGTTTGTGGGATGTACCACACCCATGGCTTAATCTTTTTATACCCAAAAGCAAAATACACCAATTTGCAGAAGTCATCTTCGGGAATATCCTAACAGAAACAAGCAATGGCCCTGTCCTTATCTACCCAGTAAATAAATCAAAGTAATGGTTCTCAAAACATATATTAACTCTACCAATCTATTAGTCTTCAATATTAAGTTCACATATAATGTATATACTATCTGCTGTTTTCAGGTGGGACAAAAGAACTTCGGTTGTTATTCCAGAGGAAGACATTTTCTACTTAGTGGCATTCCTTACTTCTGCAGTTCCCTCTTCCAATGGAACTGATGGCCTAGAACACATAATAAGTCAGAACAAAAGAATTGTAGAATACTGTGAAAGAGCACAACTTGGAGTAAAGCAATATTTGCCACACTACAGATCACAGGAAGAATGGAGGGCCCATTTTGGTCCTGAGTGGGAGGCTTTTGTGCAAAGAAAATATGTTTATGACCCATTGGCAATACTTGCTCCTGGCCAGAGAATATTTCAAAAAGCAATAACCTTCTCATGACACCATCCCTCCATATTTTATTAATGATTAATAATCTGAAAGATGCCTTACGTGTTGGGTGTATTCCCAAAGCAGCAGGATCCGGCTAAGATTTGGTCAACAAAGGGGATCAAATATTTATGACAGGAATTATTATAGGATTTCCAAATAATTAACAGATATTATCAGTGCTAGTCTGCTACAATAAATGAATATATCAATTTTGTAAACACTCCCTTATCCTATTCTCTATCAAGATATTCATCAACATCAACATGTCTTTATAGTAATGCTGAAGTGAAACTCAGTGATCTAGCAACATAGGCAGAACTATGTCTAGCATGTTTTCTTCTTATTACTGTCTTAATAAGAGCAAATATAATAAGGATACATCAGCAAAATCCAGAAACTATTCACGCATGTCAAGTGAAATATAAAGACAAAAAGCAAATTAAGAAAAGCTCATTTAGTAGCTGAAACCCAGTCCCTTCCCACTTAGTTTTCAAGTTTGCATATTCATGCACTGATACTTCTGGGAATCATCTTTTCCTTCTTTGGTTATAATTATATAAATATTCTGGTCCCCAAAAAGGAAAATATCTATTAAAAAGTTAATTGGAAAAGGAAAATGTTACTGTTGAAGAGATTCCCTGGGTGTGTCAGAACTAGATATGAAATGGTATTCAGTGGCTTCTAGACTCACTGGAATACACACCACCACGTAAAAGTTGCATCACATCACATTCACCACTGGCCAGACAATCAAACAAAAAAGTTATCTTGAAGTTATCATGACCAGATTAAAGTTATCATGTGAAACAGTAAATCGTAATCTTTCCACGTAGATGAGATCACAATGAAAGTTGAAACCACTCAACAAAGAGGTAAATAGATTACTAGAGTTACAAATAAAAAAGCAACAATGCCTAGAGGAACACTAGCTACCTTAGATAAGATATGTATGTGAGGATACATGAAGTACATGTTCATGCATTGATCCCTAGACGTTTATACTTTTATATGAAGATGTGTAATTGTGTATGATTCAAGGGCCTGCAAAAAACCCAATGAGTCTATGCAACGGACACAAAGTTGCAACATATATGTACACTATGGTACAAGCAAAATTTACTCTATATCTTAGCATATTAATATTTTATATATGAGCAAGAATTATTAGACCGCCAGCATGCTATGGGGGCTGCATAAGAAATAGAAAACAGAGAGAGGAAAGTGAATGATATATAGAATTCTAATAGAATTGCAGCAATATTTCAAAATAAATGAATTTACAACAATATTGTTTTGGACAAGTTTCAGCAAGCAAACATCTAGCAATGTAGTATTAGTTGAACTTGAACATCTAATAATGTTGCCTAATATTTAAGTGAATAACTAACAAGGTAGAATGCTTGAAAATGTTATTAAATGAAGCGAAAATGTGTAATGAGAAGTGTACCAAAATGTGATTGTTGAAAAAGAAAAACAATGCTAAAGTAAGAATAAACTTAACCAACTAAATTGTGGTCCTCCTCTTTACATGATGATTCATTGTTCAGAAAAGCATTCCAATGCTAATGATAGTAAATAAACATGATTTTTAAACTGAAAAAAAATCACTCACTATCCTATTGGTGCTATTTGAATCAATGTAGTATTTAAAAGCATTAGAGTCGTGTCTATGCTACAATTGAAATTGAAACACCGAAAAGAAAAAAAATGTAT